CATAATTTTTTGGTATTATTTTAAAGGGTAAATTAGACTTTCATTCTTTTTTTTTTATTCTATTGATTAAGATTTTATTCTTTTTCAATTTTTAATCAAGATCCTTAGGTTTTATGAACCTCATTAATTATTTCAATAATAAAATATGTAAAAATAATTAAATTTATTTCTTTTTAATTAAATTAAATTTCTAAATATATTCATTTAGTGTTAGAAACTTTACATTTGCTATATTTATATTTATAGCTAAACTTTGTATCATATATTTCTACTTTTAGTTTGTACCCATTTTTAATTTGCAAGCTTTAAAAAAAAAATTGTATCAATTTTCTTTTCAGTTTCAATTTGTACCCATATATTAATTTCTTTTTATGCCCCCATTTTTTAAACTTTTATTTGTACCTGTAATTTATTTACAATGTATCCATTTTTATTTAAAAATGTACCACTTTATGTACCAATTTTTTTGTTTTGTTAGTACCATTCCTTTTATGTAAAATGTACCAATTTTTTAATGTAAAATCTACTTATTTTTTAATCTAAAATGTACTCATTATTTTTTTTTTATATAAATGTAGACATCGAAATTTTGGTAAATAAATGTTGACCGATAAATCAAAGTTTCAACGCTCATGTATTACATAAATTTTACACGTAGCGTGTGACTCGACGAAAAATTGAAATGAGTCGGAAAAGTCATCAAACAGGACACGTGTCAACACCTGGCAGAAACGACTTATTTCATCTGGAATATTATATTCAAAATTAGGCCTTGGAAAATTCTATAAATAGAAGCCAATTTCATTCATTTCATTTCACCAATTCATATTACACCAAAACCTTGAAGCTCTGAAACTCTGAAACTTCGAAGCTCTCAAGCATCCAGGTTCCCGAAGAATCAAGAAAGCCCTTTTCGTTCTTCGTTCTTCCAAGATCAAGCCCCGACGACCCTTGGATCAACAATCATCCACCTTCAAGATCAAGCCCCGACGACCATTTGAAGAACTTCCACCAATTCAAGATCAAGCCCCAAAGGCCTTTGAAGAACTTCCACCAATTCAAGATCAAGCCCCGACGACCCTTGAAGAAAGTGTTCATCGTTCATCATCCGTTCATCCTAAGATCAAGCCCCAATGGCCATTTGGATCAACTACGTCGACAAATCCATACATCCAACCGTTCTTCAAGATCAAGCCCAAAAGCCCTTGAAGATCCGTTCATCACTGTTCTTTAAGATCAAGCCCAAAAGCCCTTGAAGATCCGTTCATCACAGTTATTCAAGATCAAGCCTCAACGGCCCTTGAAGAAACACTCATCCTCAAGATCAAGCCCCAACGGCTCCTTGAAGATCCACTCAAATCCACCTTCAAAGATCAAGCCCACGGCCCTTGAAGAACGTTCATCCAAGATCAAGCCTCGACGACCATTGGATCAATCGCACATCCACAAATCAACACCTTACGGAGATCGAATCAGAGGATCAAATTTGAGAGAGATTGTAACCCAAAAAAAAAAAAATCATCAAATACAAATATTATTTTGTGCACGTTGCTCTTGTTTGTTTGTTTCAGGAAAATTTCATGTTTACAATAAAATCTACCTCTTGTTTTTTATATAAAATGTACCCATTTAATGTATATGAAAATGCCCATTTTTTTGTATAAAATGTTCCAAATTTTTGTACGTGCAATGTACCCACATTTTAACATAAATGTACCAATTTTTATAGGGAAAATATGTAACATCCCATATCGACCAACGGAGAGGGGGTGATGTGCCTTATATGTACATGCCCACCTCTATATAGCATAAGGCCTTTTGGGAACTTGCTGGTTTCGGGTTCCATAGGAACTCCGAAGTTAAGCGAGTTCGAGCGAGAGCAATCCTAGGATGCGTGACCCACTGGGAAATTCTCGTCTGAGTTCTTAGAAACAAAACCTTGAGGGAATGGTAAACTCAACGTGAACAACATCATGCTACGGCGAAGTTGAGATTGAGATGTGACAGAATGGTATCAGAGCCACTCTGCCGTGTGGTGCAAGTGTGCCGACGAGGACGTCAGGCCCCTAAGGGGGGTGGATTGTAACATCCCACATCGACCAACAGATAGGAGGTGATGTGCCTTATATGTACATGCCAACCTCCTATAGCACGAGGCTTTTTAGGAACTCACTGGCTTTAGATTCCATCGGAACTCTGAAGTTAAGCGAGTTCGGGCGAGAGAAATCCTAGGATGGGTGACCTACTGGGAAGTTCTCGTCTGAGTTCCCAGAAACAAAACCGTGAGGGCGTGGCCGGGCCCCAAAGCGGACAATATCGTGTTACGGCGGAGTTGAGACTGGGATGTGACAAAATATACCCAAATTTTATTATATAAATGTACTCATATTATAAAAATAAAATAAAATAATCTAAAATGCACCCATAAGCAATTTTGTTGTTGTTGAAACCCATAAGAAAATTTCAATAATTAATTGGTGGTGTAAATAAAAGCAAAATAACAGTTTGAGTCTTTATTGATATTGTTTGTACCATACTTAGGGCCTCCGTATTTAGATATCGTATACATACTTGGAGGACTTAAATGTAATTATGTAATAAAGGAATGGGCAAATATGTAATAAGTGAGGAGCCCTTATTTTATAAAAGGACTCCTCACCCTCACAATTAGGGGAGGCCAATTCCTAGGCCATCAGAGACCTCACTCTCTCCCTCAGAGGCTTTGAATCTCTCCCCCTCACCTCTTAGAGAAATACAATAATCAGTGTGGACGTAGCCCAAACCTTGGGGTGAACCACGAGACATCTTGTGTTATTTACATTTCTTGCATATTCACGGTCGAATTTACGTTGTTCCAAGACCTCCGGTTTTGTGCATCAACATTTGGCGCCGTCTGTGGGAATCGACACGAAAAACTATGTCGGTTCTCTATCATTTTTTCACCTCCACCGTGAATCTGCAAAATCACAAAAAAAAACTCAGAAACCCAGTAACTTGTCTCTCTCTCTCCCTTTAGTTGTAGTCAGTACTAGCACATTTTCCAATCTGAATCCATATTTGGGGGGTCAAAGAAATCAAAATCCTAAAACCCAAAACTCAAAATATCTCCCAGTCAGATTCTAGTGAGGAAGCTTTCATGGCGACAAAGAACTCCAACAAAAGCTTCAGTACCGCCGCCGCTAGTTCCCTCTCTCCCCCAGTACCCAGAGATGATTATGGCGGCAATCGAGGCCCTGAATGACAGTTACGGGTCAAGCAAGTCCGTAATCGCAAGCACATCGAGTCAACGTACCGAGATCTGCCGGAATCTCACACGACCCTCCTCGCGCACCACCTCAACAAGATGAAGGACACCGGCGAGCTCGTCCTGGTCAAGAACAACTACATGAAGCCCGACCCCAACACGGTCGTCCGCTCAAGGCCAAAACGACACCGTCTTCAGCTCCGGTTTCAGCTCCCACTCCAACTCTTCTCTTGGTCCTCACTCTCGGGAGTCCGCCTCCACTCATTTCTCCGACTCCCGCAGCAAGAGCAGTCGTAGTAATGGTTCCCGCCGCAAGGGTTGGAAGCCATAGAAGGATCAGTTTGGTTCCATTAAAGAAGAAAGGCTTCTTGATGAGGATGGAAACCCTCATGGTCTCACTCGTAGGTATTACTTGCTTTTATTGGGGGATTCCTTGTGCTTTTTTTTTTTTTTATACTGTGAGGTGCAAGTCGATCTCAGAAGCCCATCATCACTATGAAGCGGCGGAGAAGAAAAGCTTCTGGTGGCAGGAATTCGAAGAGAGATCTACCGTACCAAGTGCTTGCGAAAATGACAGAGTAAGAGTTCAGAAGGGATCCTAGGGAATCTGCACTGGCATATGCGTGAGCCGGTCAGCATCAAACAGTTGACTACATATCGATAGGGGTGGATTTTTTTGCCAAATTGTCATACCAACCGAATTGCCAACCGTGCCATACCGATTTTGCGCCAAATTTTTTGTGCCAACGGTAATGGTACGGTATTGTACCGTACCAAAAGTTCGTGGTACGGTATTGGTAATGGATACCATTACCACGGTATTACCATACCGTACCGAAAATTTAATATAATATATAATTTATATAAATTATATAATATATAATTATAATATAACACATATTTATAAATTATAATATATTTTCTTTGTTTGTTAAATGGTTTTCAACTTTAATTCTTCTTGCTACTAATATGTTTTCTTCGTTTGTAATATAGGCTTGACACAAACTCAATCTTCTACAAGTTCAATGCCTCCTCCAAAAGCTTCGACATCTTAAACTTGAAGAATTGATCAATGAATTTTACCTTTTGAAGTTTAGTTTCAATTTTCCTTTGGTTTGAAACTTTAACTTCTATTTGGATTGTTAACTTCTATTTGTTTTGGTTTGTAACTTCTATTTGGATTGTAAGCTTAATTTTCATTTTGATGCATAATTTGAATTATTGTGTGTGTGAATTATGAATGATGAATAATAGATGAATTTAGGCTACAATTTCAATTACTGCTTTATGTTTCCATTCTTTGTTTTAGGCTTATAATTTTCAAGTAATTCATCAACATTTCATGCGGCTGTAAATCCATTTGAAGGTGGAAATCCAAAATCCATTTGGGCACTTGTTATGAGAATTTTCTTCCGTCTATGCATTTGGTTTATATATCTTTGTCTTATTACAGAGGCACAAAATATGAAATGTTGAACAAAGCAAAAACAGATTTTGTCTCAAAATAAAGTGGCAATTACCATTGCCATACCATGCCAACCGAACATTTGGCAATACCGAACTTCGGTATACAGAAAGTTTGGTATGGTAATGGTAATAGATTTTACCAAACCGAAAATTTGGTACGGTAATTGGTACGAGGGTTTTGGTACGGTAACCGTACCGAACCCACCCCTACATATCGACGGACTGCATACCGACAACGAAATATCCCGCTATAAAATTCATTCAGATCCATTAACATCATTTTCTGTCTTTACGCAGCGATGTCAGTGTCTGAAGAAGGAGCAATTTCTGTTTGGCTGTTGAAAACTGAGGAAAAGAAACTGCTCGCGGCGAGGCTGAGGTTGGAGCAAGATGGACGGCTCTGTGTGATTCTATCACTTGATTCAGTTAATCTTTCAACAGACATTGCCATTCTCTCTCTTTGATCAGAAGAAACCGCATGCATATCAACCATTCCTGCCTCCAGCAGTTCATCGTAAGCAGCCTGAGTGGCATCAGGCGACGCAACTCTCTTGATTTCCCTTTTCAACTTATTGAGATCATATTTATCTTCCCTTAGCTTGGCAAGAAGCACCGCCTTCACGCTTAGCTGTAAGTTTTTGGCTTCGAGAAAGTTCGAATCGATTCAACCTTCTCTTGATCCACCATCACCATTTTCAAGAAAGAGACAGAGAGAAAGGTGCAGTGAACATAGAGAATGAAAAAGCAAAAAGAGAAAAAGAAGTGACAGCATAACGTGCAACTTCGCGACACTTTCACGTTGCCAGGCCTTGTCTGCCATCTGCCAAAAGGCAAAAGAGAAAAGAAAAGGGAAAAGAGAAAGCAAAAAAGAAAGCAAAAGCAGAAAGCAAAAGAGAAAGCAAAAGCAAGGAATAAACACCCCACCAGAATGATATGATTTACTTTTTTGACAGATGTATGATGTAATTTATTTTTTATCTCTCGGAGACATCTGTATAAACCTTATCAGAGGGTAATAATACAAAAAAAAAAAAACAACGGCAAAGCCCAAAATAAATGGGCTGGAATGTTATGTGAAGGGCGAATGCCCATATGCCCAAAAGAGTTTGGCCCTCTATTATCACCAACCAGGTGACCAAAAGTATGCCCAGTACTCCAAAATTATTCAGCAACCTGCAGCTATTACCACCAACCAGGTGATCAAAAGTACGCCCAGTACTTCCAAAATTATTCAGCAACCCGCCATTATTATCACCAACCAGGTGATCAAAAGTACGCCCAGTACTCCAAATTTATTCAGCAGCCTGCTGCTATTACCACCAACCAGGTGATCAAAAGTACGCCAGTACTTCAAAATTATACATGAGCACTACTCATGTCAATCATACATAAACATTCATGAGCATCACTCATATCACTCATACATAAACATTCATGAGCATCACTCATATCAACATTCATGAGCATCACTCATGTCAACATTCATGAGCATCACTCATGACAACATTCCTGAGCATCACTAATGATAAAATCCATGAGCATCACTCATGTCAATCAACATAAACATTCATGAGCATCACTCATGTCAATCATCTTCAAAAGCTTCATTTACAAAGCTCTAGCTTCAAAAGCTTCATTTACAGAGCTCTAGCTTTAAAAGCTTCATCTACAAAAGCTCTAGCTTCAAAAGCTTCATTTACAAAGCTCTAACTTCAAAAGCTTCATTTACAAAATTTCTAGCTTCAAAAGCTTCATTTACAGAGCTCCAGCTTCAAAGCTTCACTTGCAAAGCTTCACTTGCAAAGCTTCACCTACAAAGCTTCAGTGCAGAGTATGCAAATACTGTCTCTGAACAACCGCCACTTCGGCCTATACATGGATTGAATTTCAAGTCTCCAGCTAACAGCCTCTACTGACCGAAGACTTGGGGGACTACATTATGTACCATATATTGGGCCTCATGAAAAATACTTGGGGGACACAGCCCATTATTCATGTATTGAGGAGCGAGCCCTTATTCTATAAAAGGGACTCCCTTACCACCATTAGAGAGCATCAACTCTAGCCCATATTTATGTATTGAGGAGCGAGCCCTTATTCTATAAAAGGGACTCCCTCACCATCATTTGAGAGCATCAACTCTAGCCCATTATTCATGTATTGAGGAGCGAGCCCTTACTCTATAAAAGGGACTCACCATCATTAGAGAGCATAACCGCCTACTGAGCAACCGCCTCGCCGCGAGCATCAACTCTAGCCCATCATTTATGTATTGAGGAGCGAACCCTTATTCTATAAAAGGGACTCCTTCACCTTCAATGCCACAAGCCGAGCCAACCAAGGCAACATAAGCCACGAGCCAAGCAGCCTCGTAGCATGTGTTATTTCTAGTTAAGCATCATTTCAGATCGAGCACTGCCTCATATCCAGTATCAGTTCAAGACGACATCTAGTTACTTCGGCCCACACATGGACTGAATTTCAAGTCTCCAGCCAAAAGACTCTCTTGACTGAAGACTTGGGGGACTACTGTTTGTACCATACTTAGGGCCTCCGTATTTAGATCTCGTATAAATACTCGGGGGACTTAAATGTAATTATATAATAAAGGAAGGGGCAAATATGTAATAAGTGAGGAGCCCTTATTCTATAAAAGGACTCCTCACCCTCACAATTAGGGGAGGCCAATTCCTAGGCCATCAGAGACACTCTATCCCTCAGAGGCTCTGAATCTCTCCCCCTCACCTCTCAGAGAAATACAATAATCAGTGTGGACGTAGCTCAAACCTTGGGGTGAACCACAATACATCTTGTGTTATTTACATTTCTTGCAGATTCACGGTCGGATTTACGTTGTTCCAAGACCTCCGATTTTTTGCATCAACATATATGATTACATATCTTTTATTATTATGTCAATTATGTGGAGAGGGACTTCAATCTAAAACCTAAAATGCATAAAGTTTGATTTTATAACAGTTAGGGACTGCCAGACTGGGGACCGCAACTAAACTATCCATATTTTAAATTAGTCTCAATCTTTTTAAATATTCTATGCAAGTATAGAACTTATCGAAATTTCACATCCGTAAGTTCCAATTAATTTTTTTTGTTACATGTACACTAGAATAATGATAAAAAAAAAATTCAAGAAAGACATGAAGATGAAAAGATAAAAAAATTCACAAATAAAATGGAAAACAAAATTGAAGATTGGAAATCTCCTAACAAAGAGGGTTAAGAATTCAGATAGGATTTCCAGAAGCTTGTTTCTGCTTGCGTGATTTCCTCATTTGTTGATTTTCAGCTAGTAAAGCTTCCAGTTCTTCTTTGTGGATGGTGAAGATGATGGTGGCCGCATCATGGTAGTCTATACCATTTTAGTAACCTCCACGACCTTCTTCTTGATGTTGGCGGCTTGAGTTGTAGGTGGAGTTTGTGATTATGCGTTGCATTCGGAGGTGATGGTCTAAGGGGTACATGGTGATCGTTACTTGGTGGAAGCCATACTTCCATGACCTTCTATTGATGTTGGAGACAAAGCAAGCCCTAAATTTAACATAAATTCAATTGGGGCGTAACAGATGTGACATTTTCAATAAATTAGATACTTACTTGGGATGTTTTAAAAGGTTGAAAACAATTTAAAATGACACTAAAAATTTGAGAAATTTTAAGTGCTGAGTCCAACAAAATATTGATGCTGATTTATGATCAACATCTACCCAACAACCCCATGAGAGTTGTGTGAATCATATGCCATACATGCACCAAAGTATTGATTGTTATTCCCAACTCCTCATAGTTGTAGCACATGAAATTTGCTCGTGGCTGAGCATTTTGGGAAACAACTTACCTATCACGTATTGTATCCCCCATGCTTTAAACCCAAATGCAACATGTTGTATGAGATTGGAAACCTTACTTATTATCAAGGGCGGATCCACCTGGGACAAGGTGGGTCAGCTGACCCTCAAAGCTTAGAATATTTTACTAAAAAAGTTGGGCATTGCCTTTTATAAATATGGATGCCTTTGAAAGTTGTCATCTAATTCGAAGAATTGCCTCTATGGGCAATGGACAAGGTAGCTGCTCGCCTCATGCCTTTGTATGCGATGCTATGGACATCTTTTGATAAGTTCGCTCTGCATATGTTGGCATATGTAGGCATGCTCGTTCAAAAGCTATTGATATCAATCGACATACTCGCTCGGAAGTTGTTGATATCTGGAGATAGGTGTGCAATATAACTTGAAAAATGATATCAAGTCTAACAAGACTTGATGAAATGCCAATTTGCATGCTATTCCGTCCAAACAAATTTGCGCGCTGTGCATGCATTCTTATTGACCCCACCAATGATACTTCTGATTCTGTTACTGCTCATCACATGATATATACCCTTCTTTCACTATAGTAAATGCCAGTTATATGAAAACCAATAGGAAAATAACTCTTTCAAAGTACATTAATTTACACATAGATATTTAGCGCGGTCGGGAAAAAATATATATATATGCAACATGTTACATGAAAGTTTCTCCCATCTTTTTTAGAACGAAAGACATAGAGGATTAGGTAAAGTATCCTTGAGACTGTAATAAATGAGATCCCAACAACCACAACGATCATTGTATTGCCAAACACCCGAAATGAGATTTGCGTGAATCATATGCCTACATATGCACTAAAATATTGTTATACCAAATCCAAATGTCTCAAGGTTGTAGCACATGAAACTCACCGTGGCGGAGCCGGAGCCTTCGGGGAAATAACTTACCTACCTGCATAGTATTTATCTCCAAGAGAACTAACTTACCTATCACATAATATATACCCCTCTCTTTGTAGCAAAATGCAACATGTTATATGAAATCTGATGTAAATAACTCTCCAAAAGTAGGTTATATGAAAATTGCTCGAATGAAAGAGAAAGAAAAAAGGTAGTCAACATTTTACATGAAAGTTTTCTCATCTTTCCAACAATGAAGGACCTATATGATTAGGTATAGAGTTAGGCATTACAAAGTGGGTCGGAAAAGTATGATGTCAATAATATAAGAATCACACTCCTATTAAGTCGGAAATTTTGAATTTTAGAAGAATAATTTAAATCTCAATATATCAAATTCATGAGTTTGATTTTTAGGATAAATGACTAATCATTTAACAGAGGAAAGAGCATGGCCAAGTATACAATAGTGAAAAATAAAAAACATAAAACTTGCCTTGGCTCCTCTTAAAAGGTTGGTTTGACTTCACTCTCTGGTTCATGTTGTCCAATTCACACCACTGTAATAATATGATATGTATCAAATCCAAATCTCATATATAGAAATACACACCTCATTTTACCTTCAACACACTCAATTTCTTGATCATTGAATTGAATATCAAAAGAATTTCTTCGTCATCGAATTGAATATCAAAAGAAGTTGAGGATGATTAAATGACAGAAATTAACAGGTAAAAGAAAGGTAAAAAAAAGGAGTGCACCACCCTAGAAATAATCCTCCCCCAAGTCGCTACGAAATGCAAGCCTTAGGTCACTTCTTGTCCTTTAAGCCGAAGCCATGTTGTCTGTTAATTAGTTAGGAGCATTGTCGCCTGGATAGGGACATTGCGCACCAGAGAATCCTGCGAAGAGTGCAGCCACAACACGGAGGCCTCCAATCACATGCTAGTTATCCAGAAGCGTATACTTCCCAAGTTCTCATTCTGCCTGGATCCGGTACCGTGTTAGTAATCTTACTTATGTCCATTTATGATCACATTTGGGCCGGTATCACAATAATCCGAGAAGGATTGGCCGAAGAATACTGTCCAGACAACAAATCCCAGATGTTCAAGTTCGAAATATTATCTAGCCATATTTCCAAGCAAACTTGCGTTACATCGTTAAATACAACAGCACAATCAGAGCATTACACAACACGACACAAAACAAAACTTCCATACAACAAGAAAAACCGACTCGTAAAATCAGAAGATACAACAACAAATGGAGCAGCTAGCACTCAGAGCTCCTCGTCACGGCCGCGGCCAGCAACTTCGTCCTTAATCTTCTGGGACTTCTGTTTGGAAGCCTCGTGGCTAGACGCCACGGTGTCCTTGGCTGGCTTCACCGCCTCCTCCGCCTTATTCTTGGCTGCCTCAAGACCCTCCTTGGCTTTCTCCTTCGCCCAACTCGTTTGTTCCTCCGTCTCCGACTCCTTCCACTTCCCCTCCTCCGCAGCATTCCTTCCCGTCTCCTCACTTGCCCGCTTCGCCTCCTCGGCCTTCAGAGCAGCCTTGTCCTTCACCTCCTGTGCCGTCTGCTTCGCCTTCTCCTTTGCCTCTTTAGTCTCCTCTGCTTTCTCATAAGCCTTGTTCTTCACCTCCTCTGCCGTTTGCGCTGCTTTTTCTTTCGCTTCTCTTGCTTTCTCTGCCGTGTAACCGGTAGCCTCATTCGCTTTCTCTGCTGTTCTTCGGGCCGTCTCCTCAGCTGCGTTCTTCGTCTCATATGTTCTATCTTTCGCCGCCTTTGTAGCCTCCTCAGCTGCATTCTTGGTCTGATATGTCTTGCCTTTTGCCGCCTTTGTGGCCTCGTATGCCTTCTCCTTCGCTGCACCTGCCGTATCAGAAGTCTTGTCCGTCGCTGCCTTTGTGGCCTCATAAGCCTTCTCCTTAGCTGCACCCGCCGTATCGTAAGTCTTTTCCTTAGCCGCCTTCGCCGCCTCATAAGCCTTTTCCTTCGCTGCCTCTGCAGTATCATAAGTCTTTTCCTTCGTAGCCTCATAAGCCTCGTCTTTTGCTGACTTTGTGGTCTCATAAGCCGCATTAATGGCCTCATAGGCCTTCTCCTTTGCGGCATTAGCAGCATCGTAAGTCATGTCTTTGGCCGATTTAGAGGCCTCATACACCTTCTCCATTGCTGCATCCATCGTCTTGCCGGCCTTCTCGGCGGCTTTATCTTTAATGTGTCTAGCCTTTTCTGTGCTATACTCACCAGCCCCTGAATTTTAAAGTACGTAACACATTAATTCTAAATATATATCATTCTTAACAATACATTACTAACTTCACTCTAATATGTTTTGTCTAGGTCACCCACATTTCAACATTTCGTTGTTTCGTGGGAATTATGAATAAATAGAACTAGTTACAAACTTTAATTCGAATAAATAAAACCGTTACAAATTTTCAATTAAAAATACATTTCGAAGGACACAAATCATATAAAAGTGATGGTTTCATGCCACTCAGTTATTGTCTATCCAGTGTCCATCCATTTCTAATCAATTTATCTCTACACATTTCTTCGTCACTATGTTGGAGTTCATATTGAAAACACTTAACACAGTACAAATGTAAAATCCTCAAACGCTATCCCATGAAAAAAAAAAAAAAAAAAAAAAAACCAGTTCCTGGACAACATTTAAAAATTGATCCAAAATAAAGCAGAAAATTTCACATTCCATCACAAATTATGTAGGAAATAATTTAAAAAACAGTAGTGACTAACCAGAAGCAGTGTCATAAGTAGCATCAGAAGCCTTCTTAGAACTATCCTTCAAAAAATTCTCATCATCCTGCTTCAGCCCAAGTCCTCCGGTGATTTTCTCTTTAGCCCACTCCGTCCACGACTCCGACCCTTCTTTACCCTCTCTCGCCTTCTCCGCCGCCCTCGCGTCATCCGTCTGCCTTGACTGGTCCTTAAACTCCACAAACTCATCAAGAACTTCCTCGTTCGCAGACGGCGTATGCCCCACGCTGGAGCCGCGGCATACGGTGGCAAGCATCACCACCACCGCCACCGCAATGACAAGGAGTAGTTTGTAAGATTGCTTTGCACCCATGACCGTATAAACGTTTTCTGAAGATTCAAATCCGAAATGTATTTCTTAAAAACTGAAGGTTTTGAGACGTTTTCTGAAAGGATCAGGAAGCAATGTGTGAAAGTTTAGGGTTGGGGAGGAGGTGGTTTTAAGAAGGTGGTGCATGACAGCATGAGAAAAGGGACAGGTGTTACACACGATGGCAGGTTCAGAATCCGTAGAGATGGACACGTGTCATACTGATACGGTGCAGTTGGGCCCGCGTGTCGACATGTTAGCGATCGATTTGGTGTTTCACGGTTCGTGTCTGTTGCTTAATGGAACACAGCATGAACCTGTACACTTCATCTCTACCAAAACAACTTTTATTTCCTTTTGACCTTATCTCCATATTGCCAATGTTGTTTTAGGCGTCGACATACTTTGGCATTAATTTGTATCTTGTTAAAAACATAATCGGTGGCCTAAAAACTTTAATTCGTAAGAGTTTGAACTCGACTTAAAAGTTTTAAACCTCACTCAATAGTTCTGGTGATTAAAACATTCAAGTTATAATTATAAACACATCTCAATATAATCAAGCAAATTTTGATTATTGAGGTATTAAATTACGTATTTGTTGACCCTAGAAACTACAAAAACCTACGTGGCGCGCAGGCCGAGTATTTTCTAAGCTAACTACGTCCTTCGGTGATTGCGGGGCGTGCCAACTCGTCGGCCGAGCTCGGCCGAGGAGTAAATTTGATGATGTTGCGTCGAGCGCGCCGCTGACTTTTGTGTCTTGCGATTGCGGCCGAGGAAGGAACAATTCTCGGCCTCTTGGGTTCTAGAGCCTGAAGACAAGGCTGCTAATTTGCGAAGTTCAATCTCAAATTCGGCTGTCAATGTGCCGAATACAGTAACCTGGTAACACCTCACTTCGCCGAGAAGGCTGATGAGATGACCTCGACCAATAGGGATTCAGAAATCCTTCTCGACCGAGACTTGGATAGGTAACCAGTCGTCCTCGCCGCAGTGCTGTTGATGCCAACGGAAGATACTGCGAGACCGACTGACTCTACGGTGACAGAGCTATCTATGCCGACTTAAGATATCACCGGTTGCTTCCACAGTGCTGTTGATGCCAACGGAAGATGTGTCAACGAAGAAAGGAAAAAGAAAAATCACAAGTTGTGAGAGTTTGCGCAGGGCAATTTTGTATTGATTTTGTAGGGGCTTTTCCTGATGCACAGCGTCCCCTATTTATAGTACTGAACCTTGAGTCCGAGTTTACATCCTACTTGGACTAGGTTTCCCTCTCCGGATCACCTCGACCAGTCCTACACCTATTAGGACTATGAACCTAGTCCTTAGCTAAGCTGGATTAATTTCCTGGATATCCGATCCTGTCGAGACTTCCCATTGCACTAGGATTCGTCTTAACCGCCCTAGGTTTGGACTCCCACGGGTTGACCGATCCATGGTCCTTTTGCCGCCCGGCCTCCTGGGCCGAGAGTGATCCTACCCTCGGCCCAAACTATTATTTTGGGCCCAAACATTGCCCCCTCGCTTCTGAGGTCCTCGGCTTGAAACCTTCGGCCGAGTTTCGGCCTTGAAGAAGCGAATCTACCACTCAGGATCCTAATACCCGAGTTCCAAGGCGCATTTATTGAGCACGATCGCACGATCTTGATCCTGCCAACCCACTCGCCACGTGGCGTCCTCTAACATGGCCAATCCCCCATAATGACGTCTAAGGCGTGCGGTAGCCTGAACCGTCTTGCCATCATGACCACTATCTCAATCCGCGAGCCACTACCTCAGTCCGTGAGCCCACTTGTCATCGTGCGGGCGTCGAACCGTCTTTCGTCATTAATTTCGCCGTCACACGCAATCCTGCGCCCCCAAAACCCTGACCTTTGGTCTTCTCAACCGCATTTCCCAAATGTTCGTCATAATCGACAATTTCTTCGGTCGATTTTGCCCTTTGTTTTGAATTTCGAACGATTGCTCTTCCCCCTATAACTCTATAAATACCGAAATTCCCTCATTTGTACCTTTACGCTCTCAAACTTCCTGAAATCCTCTGCCGTTGATTTCTAGTGCATTTCTCCTATTCCAAGTCTTCGTCTTTAAATCCCCAACCCAGACAACCCTTCTACTCCGTGCTTCTTTCTCACAATGGCGTCCTTCATCTCCAAGCTTTCCAGGGAGTGTGACCAACATCAGAAGATTTTTTATCGGAGCTCGATCAAGACCATCCGGTTTGAAAACGACATGAGCACCCAGTACCAAATCCTGGGCCCTCTCTTCAAGGCTACAATACCGCCGACTATCATCGGCCTTCTACAGGAGCACTGCCAAACACCCTTGCTTCAAGGGTTTGAATGGTCGCGATGGGATGCGGCTAAGCCCGAGGGCTCCTGGCCCTCGACGACCACATCCTGGGCAGCCTGGGTCGTTCGAATGGAACGACTCTTCGGCGAGCAATGGAAGGCTCTTGGCATCTACGACGCCATCCTTCTTTCGTCTATGGAAATCGTTCCCGACAAGGAGCTTCTCCAAGCCGCTCTGTGCTTCTGGTGCTCGGCCACCAACACAATGGTCCTTCCTCTGGGTCCCATTGGTCCCACCATCCTGGATATCACTGCCATTCTGGGGACTTCGGCAACCGGGATCCCTGTCGACGCGACCCTCTCTGGGCATCCGTCGAATATCGACCTGAAAACGCTCTTCGACCGTCGGGCCTTTGAGACATTGAACCGTGACGGTCATATCCAGTCGAAGGAAGATATTCAGAAGCTCCACAAGAACTTCTGTAATTACAACACCCTCTATCTCCACTTCGCCGGCCGAGGAGAAGAGGACATGCGAGAGGGAGAGCATGAAGCCTTCCTCTTCTACTGGTACAACAAATACATTTGTTGTACCAAGTCAAACAAGTGTTTGGTCGAGAATATGCCGGTAGCCGAAGCCCTGGCTAGTGGTCACGTCTTGGCACTGAGTTCCAACATTCTCGCCCAACTTTTCCGCTGCCTGGCCGAGGCGACCCTCCACAAGGTCGACCCACACCAGAATGGTCCTCTCTGGATCTTCCAACTCTGGTTGCAGGTATACTTCGCCTCCCTTCGGCCGGCCATAGCTGAATTCTCACCAACAGAGGCGCTTGGGCCTCAACTGGCCTCTCGACCGACACCTCCCCATCAAGCCGAAGAGGTATTTCGGTACCTCTTCGCTCTCGACGACTTCTCCAACGACGAGTTCCTAATATGTCGTCGTCGAGACTACCCTTCCTCCATCAGGCTGCCTACCTCCCCATGGAGCGCGGAGGAAGACGCCGATCTTCGTCAGACCTGGGGGTCGTTTATGCTTGCTCGCGACCTCCCTCTCGGCTGTGATGGGAAACGGTCAGGTTGGGAAGTATATCATCCGAACTTCCTTGCCCGACAGCTCGGCTACCTTCAGGGCTGCCCTATCCCCCTTCTCTCCTCCCGAACGGTCCTAAGCCGTGGACGCGAACCTCGTTCCTCTGAGAAGGAGTGTAGAACCGCCGTGAGGGAGTTCCAAGAGCGCTGCCAAAAATTCCGCCTTCGACCAGCCACCCCGGAAACCCATTGCACCGACACCTTTGGTGAGTGGTGGGAGAAATACACCCAGGAATTCTTTGGTGCGCCGGTTGAAGATGTGCTTAGCAGACTCTTCGGTGACCGGCCTAAGAAGGCCTCGGCCCCTCATCCTCAAGGTACCTGTTCCACTTTCCTCCTTTCCATCAACCTTGCATATTGATTTGCCTTACTGAATTGTCTTTATCTTTTTAGGTAGTCGGCCTTTGAGGAAGACGGAGGCAGTTGCCGCTGCCACGGCCGGGAAAAAATTGGTCGTGGCCCAAAAGGACAAACCCGCTGGTAGGGCTGTGCTGATCAAACGGCCTCGCCAAGAGGCCGAGCCGGCTGTTGAGCCTTCCCCGCCTGCTAAGCGGGTTAAACAAATGGCGAAGAAAGGTGCACGGGAGATCCACGTTATCTCCAGTCACACGACGACTCCCAGTGCTTCCCCTTCTCCCGCCGCCGGTGATTCTGGGGTCGAGAAACAACCGGCTTTGGCCGCAGAGACGGCCCTAGCGCGGCCTGCCTCTGTGGCCGACGCATCAATTGTCCCTCCCTCTATCGAGAAGGCACATGTCTCACAGCAGGCGGTTTCTACGACCGAGGGAACCTCTCCCAAGAATCCAAATCCCTCGGTCCTCGTGTTGGAAGAAAGTGAGGGGAGCGACGAGGTCCCGCTGGCGCATCGTCCTCATACTCGTCGACAACCTCCTCCAGTATCCGAGATGGTGGTTCAAATCGGCCCCTCCTCGGCTAATCGTGGCAAGCGCACGGTCGAGGAACTGACCCCGGTGGCCGAACCTCTCGTTCCTTCTCAGGACCAGGAAGTCCCTGCCTCTGAAGCAGCTGCGCCAGTCGGCCCATCAGCAGCCGACCGTGGCAAACGGCTGCTCGAGGAACCTGAGGCCACGACGGAATCGCCGGTCCATCCTCAAGACCAAGGCTTCCACATTCCTCCACAGGAGGTTACCTCGGCTTTTGTAAGTACCTCCAATTGTCTCCTCCTGATTGCTTTTCTGCTTTAGAATTCTAAACAAGGAAAATACTAAATGTCAGGTGCCTGTACATTCTTTTCACCGTCAATTCTATGCGCCGAAGGGCGTTATCTATATTTCCTGGCCGCCTCAGTGGCCATCAAACGTAGATAACCTCCATCGGCCGCATGAAGTGAGAAGCAATCTGAGACACTGGGCTCGGCCATTGAGTTCTTTAGGTTCAAGCAACGATCCTGGGGACCTGGCCGAGGTCTCCTCTCGGCAGGTTAAAAAACGACACATTCTTGCTATTCTTGTCATGACTTCCTTTAAGCTTAACCTTGTCTATTCGTGCAGGCTTCATGGGAGGTTGAATTCAAAGCCCTCATGTCCAGCACGACTACAGAGTCCGGCCCTTCGGCCGCTCCGACTGAGGCTGCCGATCCAAGCGCCCTAACCCAGTTGCGAGAAATCCTGTCGCTCTCATCCTCGCAAGTACTTGAGCGCAACGGTCTTGATCTGCTCGGCGTGTGTCTGAACGACCTTGGAGCTGACGGTCGCCTGAGCGG